ATACATGCTTTAGGTGTGTTGTGTTGCGCGTTGCCAGAAAGAGGAACTAACAAGAAATATTTTAATACCAGTTACACGTTAGGAAGAAACTTTTAAGCATAGTACCTAGTATTTAGACGTTCAGAGTGAAATCAAAAGGTTTTCTTCATATAGTATTGGTGAAATAACCGGTTTTCTCCATTAAGCATGAAAGCGAAACCATTGGCTGTCGAAACAAGTTAGGTGGAGAAAGTGCAGGAGACCAAATGTCCCGTGGTATGAGTGAATTACAAATGAAGGCGGTCGCTGAATTCCATAGGGAGGGTTTTGGCATTCCAACCGATGAGTTTGCGATTCGCGTTACAGTAAAGACACTGTTGATTAGGCTCAGCTCTGACAAAACGTGCTGGATTGCATCTCATCGGCCATGACAACCAAATTCTGTGGCATCGACAATGGCTTAGTTGGGGAGTTTTGTTGTGGTGATCAGTAACAAGCTTACACCTGTCCTGTTTCATAGAATATTTCCACGAACGGCTTTTTAGTGCCAAATAAGAAATGTTGTATACCGCTCCGGGCATGAAGATGTGGCCTTATTTAGCTGTTTTATGCATTTTTGTTCGTACTGATAAGTCCCAATGGCGAGCGACTAGAAGAATTCACAATGTTTTAATTCCGCAAGGCGGTACCTGGACAAGGATAGTTATTCGTTCTGAATAACGATCAGGGTACCGGTAAAATGGTATACATACAACCAAATATCTCTTTTGGAGCGAGTCTGCCGAATTCCCACACGCACACGGGTTAGTTAATGGTGCAGTCCACAAAAAGGTGAGCATTATTATAGTCATCATACTGAACACCGCAATTCACGCCAACATGTCTTGTTCATTTTTGACAGTTGAAAAAAATCGCCAATCGCATCCTTTTGCGAACTACTCACAAATGAGAGTAGTATACCATAACAACAGGAGTGGGAAATCGTTCCTAGAAACAAAGCACGGTACACAAAATATGGTGAGCTTATGCCATTGACCAAAGTGATCTCAAGATGACACCCGGAAAAGGCTAAAACTCTGGTTTTAAATAGTTTGTGCATATGCAATGCAGCTTGAATTATAAACGAAATAATATGCAAAAAACGATCAAAAAATGTTTACGATTGTTCAATTCTTCGGATTTTGCAGTGGTAACATCATGTTTGCTACCCATTGGGTTCACTTGGCCATTGCTGTGAAGTGGTCAATATTTCAAGAAAATAGGCTGACGATCAAATAGCCTACAGATTAACAGCCTCTCCCCCTCCCCTACATTTCTCTTTCGTTAAAAGTGACCAATCATGGACAGTCTGTTATTCGCAGATTTAGCCTTGTGTAACAGCATATTCATGTGCACGTGAAACCAAATGTTCACTGTCTACACCAATCATCAAAACAACTCACAATAGAGCATTTCAAGAGAAGCTTCACCCAATATCGATTGGAACAGAAAACAACGTTCATGGTATCACACGGTTTCTTTTAAGTCCGGCGGAAACTGGTTCGTCTATATCGCGATCCAAACACTGTGTGGACACTCGTGAACTTGAGCTGTAGTTGAGTAATGTCATCATATCACACATACATACTCAAAGTGTTTTCCTACCGTTTCATTGTTATATCAGTAATTTCCACGGGGCCTTTGGAGAAGGATTGAATTACATTTCTCCAGTCTTGAATTGTCTCTTTCTTCAACTGTTCCCGCCTCCGTCCTTGATTATCAGACACTGTCAATGCTACTGAGCTCTTCACCAGAACTGTCAGTACTCCGGTTGGCTCGATGCAACACGTCTTTGGATTGGGTAAGTTCACATGGATTTGTTGATTACACATGTGCATTTCGTTCACTTCCATAACCGAGCGACTAGCCTTGTTTCAGTTCAACTTCCAATCTGTTCGCGAGTACCGGTATCCGGTAGGAAAGGACTGTTTGTCTTTTCTTTTAATCTCCTTCTATGGGATATATATATACAATGATGCGATCTATTTTCATCAGCGGGTAAACCGGTCACAAAAAGGGCTGTCACACAGAAAATTGGTGAAGTAAGGGTTGGCTGTGGTTGGACTCGTTTACAAGTCCTTCAGAGCGATGAGCTAATGACATTAATCCCCTAGCCACTACCGCAGCCATATGAGTTCTGTGTTGTTTTTTCCAGGCCAAAGAGACACAATACTGAAAGCAATCATTACGTCGTCGACGTGAGTTTTTGATGACATGCAATGAAGTACAAGTGGTACTGTAAAAGTGAAAACGGCCAAACCAGCAAGAATATTTCAAACTGACCGAAACATTCGTATTTGTCCTCAATCGTATAGCTCAGAAGATAATAATTTCGAATTCCAACCCCAATGTTAGTAATTTGAGTCCCAGCAGATAGACAAAGTTAAGCGCTGTCGACATGTCCCAATAAGAGCGCTAGAGCAGTTCGCTACTCCTAGAGAGTCATCACAAAGATTGCTATAGCATAGAAAATAATACTATCATTATTCTTATATTCCACACTTTGTCGAAGTGCAGACTGTGTCAAAAAAAATCATGATACAATAAGACTCGTAACAAAGAAATCTATTTGTGATTTGCTCCTGTCCGGGTCATAGTAAACGAGTTTTCTTTTCGGGGTGAGCAAACGAAACTTTTGGATAACCGAAATCAGACTCACAAGGTAGCGGGTTGGTGTGAAAACCGCTGATCATTGGTAGTTAGAGTTCACTCGGTGGAATCATACGTTGTTTGGGTGTGATTTATATGCCCATGTTGCTCAGTACACTCTATTGCCCCTTCAGGCGTTGACAGTCGTGGTTAAGATGTCCGGGAGCCAGTTTAGGTCTCTTTTTAGTGTGGTCGAAATAAGTGTAGTTCAGATCGCCCAGATAGGCATGCTACGAGTTTTATCAACTGGGTTGTAGCCTCTGATCCTGGATTTGGCGTTTTTACTACGATGAAGATGATAATGATGACTCGGATGATGGGGATGATAACGTAAGTTTTAAATGTAACATTTCTAGGCCTGAAGCATTACCACAGCTCCAAGATAGACTAATCAAAATATGGTGTTGACCAATTCTTACCTCTCCTCAAAATGTCAAGAGCTAATTTTATTTTCTGTAACCAAAATTTGAACTACACGTAGTTTTTTCAAACAGTTTTTCTACTACTACTACTAAGCAGTAATAATCAAACCCTATCCAACTAAATAATTATCAATATTATAACTCGTTATCCTGTACCGATTTTCGGTCTGTACGAGTTAAAGAGGCAATACAAAACTGTCTAATTTGTATAAAAATACTGAGAAAGCGTTTGGGCACTTCACAGCCTGATTTTCATTTCTATGGTTGTTCTCGCTCCACGCCTAACCTGCCCAAACACACATACGGACTATGGTGCCACTCAGTTGATCTTTCGGGACTTGTTCAAATGAACACTAATTGGTTGTCAGGTTTTTTAANAAAAAGAAATTCTTGCGGTCACTTCTCGCTCATTACATAACTAACTGAATGTTTGGAGTTATCTACATCTAACGCACAAACAAACAAATTTGGGACTGATGTGTTTTCGCGTAGCCTCTTGTCATAGCTCTGTCCTGACCCAAAAGAAGACTCGCCTCTGACTGGCACAAACATTGGATACAGAAACAATGAATTATTTTGTTCAGTTGACAATCGTTCTGTCTGTTCCGTGTTCCACTCTTTATATATTCATTCAAATGGGGTTAGCGGTAAAACTATAAATACTGCTACCTGCTTTCGTTTAACAATGTGTCCTCCCTATGCCCCTTTACTGCTGGCCTATAATTTTTCCTGGTTTTGCTGAAGACTGATTTGAAGTTGCTGAGGTACGGCCTCTCAAGGATCGACCT